GGGGAGAAAAACGGAGGAAGCGGGGGGGAAAGCGGGGTGTGCCGGGGGTGTCTGCCCGGCTGCGAGCTCCGCTGTGGAAACGTGGAGAGGTAATCGGCAACCAAAATGTATCGGGAAGCGGGGAACGTGTATAATGCCCTATTCACCCCCCCCCCCAAAAAAAAAATAATAGGGCTGCCACCCTCCCCAAACCCACCAGGGCAATAATAGGGCAGGGGATGCTCCATGTCCCGTCTCCCCACCGAGCGCTTTCCCCTCTTTTCCCTTTCCCCACGCAGTGCTGCAGAGGGCCCCTCGGCACTTGCGGTTTTTGAGAGCCTGGCCCCACGCTGCGGCTTTTCAGTGGAATTTGGGCTCCGGGCGGGTTTTTGTGAATCTGACGCTGGATGTTGACTGATCCTGACCAGCCCTTGGTCCTGAACGTCTCCGCGTCCTGAGCATCGCCTGGGCCTGCGTGTCAGAGGTGAGGCTGCGGGTACCGGCCGGGACGGGGTGCGGGGACACGCGGGCACGTTTCAGGTTTGCTGTGTTACTGGCTGGCCCAAAATTTCCCGGTCCCCTTTTCTCCTGCCTGTGAAGCAGTCACCCCTGCATGCGACTGTCAAACAGCTGGATAGAAATGCCTGAGAAGTGATAAAGAGGGTTATTTTCATTAGGAGAAGTGGCATTTTTCTCACGCATCCCCCTTCACATGTGCTGCTCAGTGATGTCCCCCGGGATGCTGAAGAAGAAGGTCCCACCGAGACAATCGGGAACAAACACAGTGCTGCAGAGATTTCTGTGCTTGCTGTCACACTGGGGACGCGTCGCCTTCTTGCCGAGGCTCTGCCACCCGCCTCCCACCTCCAGAAGCTGCTCCGGCTTCGGCTGGGCTGTCTGCAGGTGGGGACCCGCAGTCCCTGGCAGAGCCCCGCATCGCGCCCGCTCAGGGCTTGTAGGATGGAGCGAAACTGGGTGCTGGCGATGCCCCTGAAAGAAAGACTGGATTTCTTCTAAAAAAAAAAAAGGGATGCTGGTATCGGTGGGAACAAAAAAAAGAAAGAGCAGAGTGTATGCGGTTTGGTAAAACAGCCGTAGCATTTACGTGGTCGCCTGGTGGTCCTCCAGACTTGCTGCTCCCCACCTCAGTTCGAGTGAGTGTGGCTGACGAGCAGCTTTCCCAGGTTTGATGCCAACAGGGATTCCCGGTGGGTGCCGTCGCTGTCGCCATCCCCGTGCCACAGGTCCTGCGATGGGCGAACACCAGGGATCACATGTGGTTTAGCTGGAGCGTGCCCATGGAGATGTAACTCATTCTCACATGCTCGTGTTCCTGGAGGAGCCGTGAGCCGAACCCCACACCCCTGCAGTGTCCAGAGATGGACGGAGAATCAAAAAGTGTGCCAGTCCATGGCAAGCGAAGCCAGCGGGCAAAGCCTAGGTCTTCTTGTGAGAGGAGCCTTTAGATAGTTACTGCAGCATTAGGATTACGCAGCGGTGTGTTTGTTGTTCCAGGAGGGATTTTGTACTTGCCACATTTTCCTGTGAAAATTGGGATTTCTGTAGGTTGCATGAGAGCTCAGTGCTGGGGAACAGACGTTTTCCTGGTGGATCCCAAGGGAGCGGCAATGCGAAATCAAATCTTAGGCACCTGCAAGCTAAAGTGCATCAGTGTAGGGGCGAAGTGTACGGCCGAGCATCCCAAGCGGCCGCACCGGCAGGGAGACGGCACGGTCCGCAGCATCCCAAGTGCTGGAGTGAGGCGAGGAGCGTGCCCCCTCCTTCCCTCCGGCAGCTTTTCTACAGCCTCGAGATTTATGGCTCAGCCGTGGAGCTCACATGCGGTTTTACCCGTTGTAACGCTACAGCCATTGTCACGCCTGTTATCAAGATTCATTTTTCAGGAATTAAACTTCACATCACGTAAGGTTTCTGCTGGACTGGGGAAGCCAGCACCGACTGCAAGGGAAAAGCCATCCCAGGGAAAACCCAGCATTTATTTCCTCATAGTTATAGGCGTGCAAAACAATGATGCTTGATTGGATTAAGCTGCAATTTTTGGGTTCCTATAAGACAAAACTTTGTTTTCCAGCATACAACATTGCATGAGGTTAGCCTGTAATTCCCGATGGCATTTCCTTCCATTTAAAACACTGAAGTCAGTAACTTTTGCAATCTGCCTGGTGCATGCGTGTGCTGGCTTTGGGGAGGTTTCTCGGCGGCTCTGGGGAAGGTCGAGGGCTCCTGGTGCTGCAAAGGCTTTGCTTTAAAAGTACGTCGGTCACAGCAAAGTAGCGAATCCTATTTGCTTGGGTGCAGGAAAATTAATTCGTCATGAATAATGTGAAATGGGAAATTTTCTCAGCCATTTCCCAAGCTGGTCACCCCAAAAACTAGTGTCTTGGGATCGTTCATTGCTCCCCCCGGCTCTTCGGCATCGTCTCCAGCCAGCAGGTTCCTAAAGCAGCGTGTGCGGGGGAGCAGCCGTGCCGGGCTCAGGGGGGCCGGGGCAGCCCCGAAGGCTCCCCTCGCTGCCGAGCGGGGAAATGGAGCCGCAGTTTTCACACTTATCTGTGGTGCTGGGCCAGAGACAGAAAATAAAAATAATAAAAGCAATAATAAAACAGTAATAATAACAACAACAACGATGATGATGATGATAATAATAATAATAATAAACAACTTGTACAGAGTGCTACCATAATTATTTTCAGACTAACTCCGCTGCTGCAGTGATCATTGCAGCCCATGCCATCTCTCCCCAAACAGCTTTTTTTCAGGGCAATTCCGTGAGTTTGGGTTGTTTTTTTAAGTTCTGCTTTTTTTTGCTTTATTTTCCTAAAAGATCCTGAGAGGAAGAACAGTTGGTCCCATGGTCCAAAGGCTGGTGCTGGGCCAGGGTACCTGCGAGCGGCAGAGGAGGTTTTTTGCTGCCGGGGGGGGTCTGGAGGGGAGCGGCATGGCTGGGTACCATCCCGGTGAAGATGCCGGGCAGGCGGCGGGATGCTGGCAGCGACGGCGTCGGGGTGTTCACGTCTCTGGGGGGGGTTCCAGCCGACGTGCAGGGGCTCAGCCTCCGCGGCCGGGGCTGAACTGGGATCTGCCCTTCGAGTCCCGTCCTCGCCTCGGGGGTCTTCACCTGCATCCCAGACCAGGCGGGGATGGAGCATCACTGGGCACGTAGAGAAGAAAATTAAGAGGGAAGGGAAAAAAAAATCCCACACCGTGGGAAAACGGGGAATGGCTGCTTGATGCAACTGCGGTGGTTTTGGCTCCTTAGTCCTCTGGTTTGGGTTATTCTTCTTTTTTTTGGGTGGGCAGAGGAAGGCGAGGAAGCAGATGGGAATTTCCAGTGCCGGGAGGCTGAGAGGCAGCAGCAGGAAAGCTTTTCCCAGCAGGATTCCCAGGCTGCATTAAAACAGTTTAAAATGTCAGCTAAATCAATCCAGGTTGAAAACTTTGGGGTTTGGTAAGCGTCTAGTCTTTACAACATCAGAAATGTATAATCAGGCCATGGAAATTAAGGTGTTGATCGTTAATTAAGCTATTCATAAATAATTAAGCTATTAATAATTAAGCTATTTGAAAAGGAAGAACCAGTCTCTCCTGCAGAGCTGGTTTCTTTTCCCTGTTTGGGGTTCTGGGGGTGGAGAGCGGCTCCCATTTGCCCCCCCCCCGCCCCCAGCCCGGGACACATGTTGGGCTGTGCAGGGTTAAATTGAAATGCTGTCCTGGGGAGGGGAGGGAGGGCAAGGGGATTTGGGGGCTCTTGTAGGGCTTGTCCAGCTTTGTGTCTCCCATTTCATTTTGAAAACTTTCACTTTGTTACATATTTATGTGTTTATATATATATATATAAAATGTAGTTTTAATGTCTTTAGAGAGATAGCGAAATCATTGGGCAGATGCGCAACAGGTAGTCTGAAAATGGTTATGGGATAACTCCATACAGATAGATATATAGATAGATAGATAGATAGATGGATTTGGGTTTTTTCGTCTCTGGACCAGCACTGCAGATATTGGTTTGAAAACCACTGCTCCATTTCCCTGCTCAGCAGCGAGGGGAACCTTCGGGGCTGCCCCGGCCTCGCTACCCACAGTCTGCTCACCTGCACAACTATTTATGTATAAATTTATAGTTACATAAATATTTAAATACAGAAATATATAAATACAGAACTGTATACATAAATATAAATACATAAATATATAAACATATAAATATAAATTTAAAAAAATCTGAGCATGCTGGAGGAATTTTGATGTGGGGAGGCAGAAATATTGCTGAGTCCTGCTGCTTCCCTGGGGCGGGGGGACCAACCTGTTGTGCTGTTTGCTGGGGAATATTCCTCTTTTCGGCACCGTCCAGGCAAGCTGGAGTCGCTGTTGCAGCGAAAGCCTCAGGTTTGGGTCTGGCAGAATTGAGTGGTGCGGTGGTGGTAGTGGGAGGTGGGGGGGGGGCACAAGGCAGCAGCAAATTCTGCAATTAGTCCTTAAAACTTCTTGCTCTGAAATGAAGAAGTGAAACACATCTCTGATGCAGGTGTTTTTTAAATCCCAACCCTGAGCAGGTGTAGGAAATCTGTAGGGAGAATGGGAGGAAACTGTCGGCTCCAGCAAAGCTGACCCTGAGGAGGAAAATGGGGACCCCAAAAAAAGATGGACATGGAATCAGAGTGCTTTTCACTTGGAATGGCCCGTGAGGTGACAAGCAAGAGACTAAGGATAATAATTTCATTAATTATTAATATGAGACTACTGATAATAATAATTGACCTCCAATAATCTTGATTTTTTAAATGGTTCTATTTTAGACTTTATATTTTTTATATTTAATTTTATTTTAGTTTCTATTTTATTTTATTGACTTTTTTTAAATTTGTTTTTTGACTTTTTGATTTTTTTTTAGGTTAAAATTGTCAATGTACATGAGAGATGATGCATTTTTTTTCCAGAGGGATGCAAGTAATAAACTCAGCCCAAGTAACCAAGAGTCCCATATCACTCTAAATATATTTGAAATCTTTATTCCAGCATAGTCAGTGAATTCTTTTTAAGAAGACCAAAAATCTAAGTAAGTGATGTTTTTTGGCAGGACTTGTCACCGATATTGCCAAAAGCCTCGGGGCAACGTGCCGTCCCGGCAGCCCATGGGCAGTGCTGCAAGTGAGGGCTCTGGGGGACAAAACCTGGGCTCCTGCTGCTTGAAAATCTTATTTGCAAGGAAAAAAAAACGGGATTGGGCATATGCTGAAGGGCTGAAGCCTGGGGGGGTGTTAAATACGATGGCTTCGAGCACCCTGCCACGGGGTGAGGCTGTGGGAGGCTGCGCTGGTATCAGCCCCGGCCAAAAAAAAATAAGCTATTGGGCTGGGGGGCCCTTTGCTCAGCTGCTGGCCCGAAAAGTGACTCCTATGGGGTCCGGGGGGGTCCGAGATGTCTGCTGGGGGGTGGCGAGGGCTGGGCTCGGCCCCATCTCCCGTGGGGGTACCAGGGCAGGTACCAGGGGGTACGTGGGCTCTAGGGTTGGGGTTTGGACACCTCTTCTGGTGTCTGGGGTGGCTGCAGGTGGTCTGATTCCTAAAAAAATGTGTTATTGCTGTTAATCGCAGCTGACGTCTGTGCCGGGAGGACCGCCGAGCGCAGACCTGGCCGGGAGCTCATGCTCAAACCTGAAATCGCTGGGATGTTGCTCCACCTTGTTTGGACATCCCGGGGGGGCTTCTCCAAAGTTAGTTTGGGTTTTTCCCCCTCTCCTCTAAATTTCCTTGGAAAAGTTCCTGGGAAAGGGTTCGGTCCGAAATCATGCTGCTTCTTGGACCCAGGCATCGCCCAGCTCCCAAATATTTTGTGTCCTTCCCTGCCTGAAGGTGTCCAGAAGAAACCAGGAGCAGAATTGAGCCCCGGCGGAGCGCAGCCCTCCTCTCCTCTCCTCTCCTCTCCCGGAGCATTTGGAGGACAAAGCTCTCAAACACAGCCAGCCCCCGCCACCAGCGGGGTGTCATTTGGAGGCTTAAAGCTGCTGTCGCAATTAGGGTACCGCTGCTCGGTTACGCGGCACGGGGACGTGTTGGGATTTCCAGCACATCCTATCATCTCCCCCCCGGGACACATGTTGGGCCACAGTACTGCTTTCTGGTCGCGAAGCCAACCGCTCCGAAATGTTTCCTTGTCCAGGGAAGGAAGGGACGTCTCACATCGCCGCAGGCTGTATCACCGCAGTTTTGGGGATGCTGTGCTCCCTCCCGGGCAATTTCCACCTCGGCTAGCTCAGCACCTCCTCTTTAAGGTGCATTTCAACTACGCTGGCCACTTACAGACTATATTGCTTCCCCCCCCCCACACCCCTCTTTTGCTAATTGCGGGTTCTCCTTAAGGAGAAAGAAGAAACATGTTCTCCCTTTGGCATCACCAATGAGATATTAATCCCACTTTCACATCCACTGTCTAGAGATGCAATTTAGCTGCTTAACCTGGACCAGGGCCCAACCCATAAGTCCTCGATGCTGGTGAGCTGAATCCCACCGCCGACCTCAGCGTTAGACACACCTGTATGGTTTTTCAGTTAATTTAATAACTCAGTCGTGGACTTTTTGGTGTCATCCCCAAGATAAGGGGATGCTGAAGGGGACCTGGTGTTGTTGCTTTTGCAGCACCGAAACCCAGTCCCTTCCTGCAATGCCCTGCCTGCAAATGAATGCATCAGTACTTTCATAAATATCATTTTCATAAACACAGAAAACAGGCGCTGCCTGATGTATGAAAAGCTGGAGTCAAGACCGGCTGAGGTCAGACTTTGCAGATTCCCTCTGCCAGCAGTGAGCTTTGGATCAAGGACAAGATAAATAGAAAAACGAATATAGGAGACAGTTAGGAAATCAATCAAAGAAAAAAAACAAACACCAAACCAAACCGAGTCCCTTGGGCTGATGGCCACCTACGAACTCTGACCAGAGAAGTGAACGCACACGAATTAAATGCCTAAAAAAATACAGTGTCAGATGGGAGGAGAGGGTTTCTTCTTTAAATTAAAAACATATTTGGAAAAATAAATCTTTTGTAACATCTCATTTCCTCTCCTTGATTGGCTTACATGTTATCTACTCTGATTTTAAACTGCTCCGGAGGGGATTTTTCATCCTGCATGGTTATGAAGAGCCCGCCAGTGTCTGAGCACAACTTAAAATAATAGGAAAAATTCACCTGATTTGGCAGGCGGAGCCTCTCCACGGCATCGCCACGGGATCTGGGATTGCAGAGGAGCCTGGGCTGGTTTTCGGGGGGTCCCAGGGCACAGCCCCTCGCCGGATACATCCCGCTGCTTCCTCAAGTACACTTTAACTGGGATTATTTTTTTCGGGGTGGGGGGAACCAAAAACAGAAGAATTGCCTTTAACCACTTTTTGGGGGAGGTCTCCTCTCTCTCTTCCTCACCAAATTCCTGCTGGTCTAATTTTTGCCTTCCCTGTGTTATATGGATGCTAGAGATTTCTCTTTCGGTGGTCCTCCCCGCTAAACGCTGCAGCAGCTGGGGAATACACACCTCTCCTCCACGGCCATGCTTTCTTCAGCCATTTTCAAATTTATTTCAAGATAAATGGCGCGTTGCTTGATAGTAGTCATCTTGCTAAGGGGGTTCAAAACCACAAGCCTTAGGCTCCATTCGCCATTCTGCTTCCCCAGCATAAATCCCTGCAATGAATTCTACTTGGATTTACTAACCCAACGAGGGTAGAAGTGTTGCTCTCCTTATGGTAAATCTTAATGACAGTAATCACTTCAGAAAAAATTAAACCTACACACAAGGGAGCTGGGAAAGCAGCCGGTGAAGCTGGGAGCACAGCCTCGAGCAAATGGATGCTCAACCCCTGCACAGAGGTGTTGGGAAATTATTTGCTTTGAATAACCAAATCTATTAATATTTGGGTTTGAGTGAGTGGCGAGTCCCTTGCGTGCTTTTGCGGGTGACTTGGAGAAGACATCGGAGGGGGAAGAGAGTCCCGATTTGGGCTCTGCTGGGAGGCCGGCAGAGATGCAGCTCTTGCCAGCACTTCTCTTGGGTAATTCGGCTGAAGATCAGGTGAGATTTGCCCAAAGGGGACGCAGGTTGGTGGCTCTGGGGATGTAAGGAAGGTTGTAAAGAGGAAAACATGGTCAGTGTCACTCT